CGCCTCCACGATCCTGGGCAGGGAGAGCACGGTCGTGTGTCCCCCTGTCCCCTCGCTGAGCTGGGGGACCACGGGGCACCGGGGCAGGGGGTCGAGGCATCCCCACGCTCACCACTTGGGTGCCCCGTGGCCAAATCCTGCCCAGCTGTGAGACAGGGACTGGGGATGGCTGAATTTTCCCTGATTTGGGCACTTACGTTTTAATGAGCTGCTTGGCGTTCTGCGGGGAGCAAGAGGAGAGGTCAGTGGAGCCGTGTGACAGCCTCCAGGATGTCCCCGAGCTGGTGGGACCCCATGTGGGCACCAGCAAGGGGGAGGTTTGGGGGTCTCACCATGAGGAAGGCGGCGCCCCCGGTCTCCTCCATCGCCTGGATGGCCGTCTCCACCAGCCGGCTTGATTTCTCCAGCTGCTCCTTGTACTGGCGGATGAGGCCCTGGATGAAGCCCGTCTTGTCGCCCTGCTCTTGGGTGATGCGCTGCAGCAGCTCCGACTTCTTCTCCTCCAGCAGCGCTGCCAAGGTGTCGAAGCGAGCACACAGCTCCCGCTTGGCCGCCTCGCTGTTCTCCTGCGGGGACGTGGGGCAAGGGATGTCACCTGTGTGTCCCTCAGCACTAGCAGCATCCCAGGGGCTTCCCTGCTCTGTGGGCTCCAGCTCCCTCCCACATGGCCCCTGGCTGAGGTTGCACCCCCAGTTTCAGAGGGCTCCTTTTCCCCCTTCCCTCACCTCGGTGCTCCGGCACGAGTCCTCCAGCTGGGAGATGATCGTCTGGATCCGGTCGTTCCCCGCCACCAGCATGGAGATGCAGTTGTTCAGCTCAGTCTGGGCAGGGGTGGACAGACAGAAACAGCTTGAACTCCAGCGGGGACAGGGACGGGGACATCTCCCATCCTGACGTGGCGACAGGCTGGACGTTGCCCAGCCACGGCTCTGCTCCCCTGCGTCCCCCCCAAGCCACCGCCCCCCTAAAAATAAGCGGCGAAGTCACCCGGGGGCTATTAATACCCCATGAGCAGCTCCCGGTGGTATTTGTGGCCGCTCCAGCTCAGCACATCTCCCCGGGACCAGCCATGTCCCCTGTGGCCCCCCCGTTGTCACCCCCCCCCCCCCAACCCTGGAAGATGGTTTGCAGGGGGGCGACCTCGCAGTCCTTGTGGGCACCGAAGACTTTGCACATGGAGCAGGTGGGGACCTCGCAGGTGACGCAGTAGATGTTGATCCGCTCGTCCTCGTGCTCCTTGCACATGGGGTGCTCCCCCTTCTTCAGTGGCCTGCTGGAGAGAGCAGCACGGCCGCCGTGAGGTCCCCGTTATGGTGACATCCCCATTGGGGTGATGTCCCCGTTGCGGTGACATCCCTGCCGTGATGATGTCCCCATTGCAACATCATCCCCACCATGGTGGCATCCCCCTTGCAGCATCATCCCTACTAAGGTCATGTCCCCACTGATGCTGCACAGTCATCCCAAAATCAGGTCCCCTGGAAAGAGGCCAGATCCTGGCATAACCCCACATTTGCGCCTTCAGGAGCCACCGACCTCTGTGTCTCTGTAAGCCCCAAGCCCAGTAAGCCCCAGTTTAAACCAGCGTGGTACTGGGCATGGCAGTGGGTGGTGGGGCCCAGGGCTGCGCTCCAGGGACGCTGCACAAGAGCCTAATTTTAGCCTTGGGCTGCTGGGATCTATTGCTGTCACCCAGCTGGGGCGGGGGCACCCAGAAACCCCCGGCAGGTCCCAGCCAGGGTCTGCAG